ATCCCCGGCGCCACCCCCCGCGCGGGGGTACCGGGGGGGTTCTTCCGTCCCATCCTATCTCGTCCCATCCCATCCCGACCCCGTCCTGTCCCCGTCCCATCTCATCCCATCCCGACCTGTCTTGTCCCCAGCACATCCTATCCTGTCCTACCCTATCCCGTCCTGCCCTGTCCCCATCCCATCCTGTCCTGTCCCCGTAACATCCTATACCCATCCCACCTCATCCCATCCTGCCCCAGCCCCAACCCATCCTGTCCCGTCTCATACTATCCCATCCTATCCCATGCCATCCTATCCTGACCTGTCTTGTCCTAATACCATCCTATCCTGTCCCATCCTGTCCTGTCCTGTCCCTATCCCGTCCTATCCTATCCTGACCTGTCTTGTCCCCATCCCATCCTATCCCATCCTGTCCCCATGCTATCCTGTTCCATCCTGTCCAACCTCATCTGATCCTGTCCCATCCCGTCCCATCCCATTCTGTCCTGTCCCCATCCCATCCTATCCCATCCTGTCCCCATGCTATCCTGTTCCATCCTGTCCAACCTCATCTGATCCTGTCCCATCCCGTCCCATCCCATTCTGTCCTGTCCCCATCCCATCCTATCCCATCCTGTCCCCATGCTATCCTGTTCCATCCTGTCCAACCTCATCTGACCCTGTCCCATCCCGTCCCATCCCATTCTGTCCTGTCCCCATCCCATCCTATCCCATCCTGTCCCCATGCTATCCTGTTCCATCCTGTCCAACCTCATCTGATCCTGTCCCATCCCGTCCCATCCCATTCTGTCCTGTCCCCATCCCATCCTATCCCATCCTGTCCCCATGCTATCCTGTTCCATCCTGTCCAACCTCATCTGATCCTGTCCCATCCCGTCCCATCCCATTCTGTCCTGTCCCCATCCCATCCTATCCCATCCTGTCCCCATGCTATCCTGTTCCATCCTGTCCAACCTCATCTGATCCTGTCCCATCCCGTCCCATCCCATTCTGTCCTGTCCCCATCCCATCCTATCCCATCCTGTCCCCATGCTATCCTGTTCCATCCTGTCCAACCTCATCTGATCCTGTCCCATCCCGTCCCATCCCATTCTGTCCTGTCCCCATCCCATCCTATCCCATCCTGTCCCCATGCTATCCTGTTCCATCCTGTCCAACCTCATCTGATCCTGTCCCATCCCGTCCCATCCCATTCTGTCCTGTCCCCATCCCATCCTATCCCATCCTGTCCCCATGCTATCCTGTTCCATCCTGTCCAACCTCATCTGACCCTGTCCCATCCCGTCCCATCCCATTCTGTCCTGTCCCCATCCCATCCTATCCCATCCTGTCCCCATGCTATCCTGTTCCATCCTGTCCAACCTCATCCGATCCTGTCCCATCCCATCCTGTCCTGTCCCCATCCTATCCTGCCCTATCCCCATCCCACCCTGTCCCATCCAGTCCTATCCCTATGCTATCCTATCCCATCTTATCCCATCCTGCCCTGTCCTATCCCTGTACCATCTTGTCCCACCCTATCCTAATCCTATCCTATCCTGTCCCGTCCTGTCCCCATCTCATCCATCCCATCCCCATCCCATCCTCTCCCGTCCCATCCCACCCCATCCCATTCCATCCTGCCCTATCCCCATCCCATCCCACCCCACCCTATCCCATCCTGGCCTGTCCTATCCCCGTCCCATCCTGTTCCATCCCATCCCCTCCCATCCCTTTCCATCCCGGCCACTCCCG